TATCGAATTTGGATTTTAAAAGTACGAATGTGGATGTTAGGACTTACAATTTTACCTATGGATCCCCTTTAATTCGTCGATCAAGATTCATTACTATTGTAGTGTTCGGTCGAATTTTTCTAAAGTATTCAATTTACCTTTTTCAAATTCTCATTGAATCTATTTAACTAATTCAATTACATATCTTTATATGAATCAATCTTAATTAAATGAAGTATTAGTTCTAAGAATTCATCTAATGACCGTAATAATTAGTATAGGTATCTATACACGTTATACTAAATTACCGAATTTTATTATATGGTCTAAATCTAAAACTCACCTCTCGACTCGTAATAGATTCACAAAATTATTGAATAATTGGACAAATAATTCAAAACATTAAATTCATAAATAAAATCAACACATGTGCATTTAAAAAACTGGAATCTTGAATAAAAGAAATAAAGGGTCACACATAGATTACATTCACCCTAACTATGAATTTAGGTACTTATAATAACGAAACAAAAACAAAAAGTATAGAGTTCATAATCAAGTTTTGAAATCTTAATCATTGAAAGAATTAGATCTTACACCAAGAATTATTTTCAACCTCAAAAGTCTTCAAACTCTAGCTTTTGCTCTTTGATTTTGTTGAATATGTGTTTTTCTCTCCCACAAACTGTGTGGAACTCCTTCAAAATTGTCAAAAACTTATATGTATACTCCTCCCCACGCTTTTATCGAATGCAAGGTTTCATGGGCTTCAAAATGAGTCAAAAACGCACCCTATATAAATCCAAGCGGCTCCTCCCATGGTCCCAGAAGATAGAATAGGCGCCACCTTTCGGCAAAATTTCAGTACTGCACTTCTTTTAGTATTTTTATTATAATTTTCTCTCCTAATATCCGATTTAGGTGATTCAAATTGAGTTGTAAAGATAACCCAAAGTGATACAACTTTACCAGAAATAGATATTTTCCAATTCGAATGTTTACTAGGCCAAAAATAGGTCTCAATCTCGGGCTGAAAATCTGGAATAACCTTGTGCGGTTGAAAATTGAAATTTTTCAAAGCACGTGGAGTATCTATAATAGTAAA